CTGGCTACCTTTTTAATTAAATTACTTCATGAAATAGGAAATGCAAAGAGTAAATAAGTAGCTTTGTGTTTTAAGAGTATGTGCTCTAGACTCAGACAGCTTGGGTAAATATGTGACCTTATGTAAATTACTTCATTCTCCCTGTGCCTCAGTTTCAACATCTGCAAAATGAGGATAATAATAGCATCTACCTTGTGGGGTTTTGAAAGGACTGTATGGAAGTATGTACGTAAAATGCTCATAAGAGTAGGGGACACATAGTAAATATTTCATAAATGTTAGCTACTACTACCACTATTATTATTAGCCCCCAATTTACTCACTGATCATGGCTTTCATTCTATATTTTTATAAAATTTAAGGGGAAAATGCTATCTATAGGATTTGTAATTCTTATTTCAAACACTTATTGCACATCAGTAATATACCAGGTACTATGTTAGACAAGGAATTGCAAATACCATGGACTTTTGGTCAATGAGCAAGTTATATAACAAAATTTTTATAGGAATACCTTTTTAAAGGTATCCATTACCTTGAACTCTGATACAGTATGTCACAGTGTGAAAAATAAAGCTATCAACAACAACAATGTAGGTGGTTCTTAATGAATATGAATTCTTTAAATAAAATCATATTTAGTGTCAATGGTTGAGATTGCTGTTCAGTGTAACTAAAATTCTTCCAGAGGTTTAATCAACTACTTGGGAAGCACAAAAGACTGGAAAAGAGCATGGTAATCTGGGTCTGATTCCTGGATTTTACAGCCCTGCTCAATTTGGCACACAGTAGATGCTCAATAAAGATTTGTCTTGCCTAAAATACTATGACAAAGTACTCCAGTTAACACTGATTCAGAGAAGAGACTGCCACCTAGTGGAAAATTAGGCTCATCACCTGGGATTATCAATGCTGAGAACTTCCCAAATTAACACTTGATCCTATTTAAAATACTACATGTATATTCATTGTGTGTCAGTATTCAGGCTAAGTACTGGTAATAAAAAGATGAATAAGCCTCCATCTCTACTGCCTTCAAAGTACAGATAATACAACGAAATCACATACTCCACAGAGAGGCATAAAGTAAATGGTATTGCAGAAAAAAAAGAAAAAGCCCTGCTTATTAGACAATCAAAAGCTAGTATTTCAGGAAATTTGCTAAAAAGGTTAGTGTAGCAAGTAAGAGCACAGTCTCCAAGTCCAGACTGTATGGATCCAAGTTCTGGCTCATGTAAAATGAGGATAATTATAGGACCTAATTCTTAAGATTATTGTGAAAAATGATATGTAAAAATGTAAAGTGCTTAAAACAGTACCAGAAACAAAGAAAGTGCTTTGAAAGTATTAGTTATGATTATCACTACATTTAGAACAGGATCCAAGAGATGAGGTAGTGGAGGTAGACAAATATTAATAACAGAACATTAGCTGCTTAAGTCTAGCTTCATAAATTTAATTCAGCAGAAGTCGTTTCTTCTGACTAGCACTCTGTTATTATGGGAATCCTAAAAGTACATTATTTGTGGTACTCTGTGACTAAATTTTGTATTACTAGATGATTAACCCTTTCAACATCAGGCAAATAAAACTGCCTTCTGAAAGTAAAAATTGTATTTCTTACCAAAAAAAGCAAAAAGTCAGTAGAATGAAAGACCCAAAAGACCACAACCTGAACATATGCTTAACAGGGAAAGATGCTTGCTGACTCTTCACAGATTTTGCTAGAACTGAAAGATAGATGATACATTTAGCTACCATTGTGGTCTCATTCGCAGCTTATTTAACTTACAAAAAAACAAAAAATGAGTTTGCTCCATTTTCCTTGAAAAATACCTAAATGTATGAGCAGCTCTGATAAATACTATTTAAAAATCATGTAACTGTTCTGTATCTTTCAAATTTTATACCACTAAAAACACTTATGTAAACTTTATTTTCAAGCCAAGAAAGTTTGGGCAAAATATTCCTGCATTAAAAATAAGTAAGATATAAGGCAAACCTCTAACAAGTTAATAATAAATATTGTAAGTTTTAATGAAAAATCTAAATACTATTGACTTGATGATTATGGCTTGCATTTAATGAGTAAAATACTTCAGAGTCTAAAACAACTTTTTGTTTTCTTATGACTATATACCATACACAAGAACTGTGCTAAACCTTGGATTGCTTGGGATTATGTAACTTCTTCCTAAACTTCCTCATTTTAAAAATAGGCAGCAAAGAGTTAGGAAAATGTGTTGAAACATTTTGAATTTTGTTTGTAAAGGTGTTAGTATACTGAAAATTGTGTTCTAAAATCATGGCACAAAATAATTTTAATTTCATGTGTATTATTTGAACATTTTAATTTCTGAAACACTTTGAATTCCTTCCTTTTCTACATTAATACAGTACAGATATAATGTCCTTAACTTCATGCATTTATTTTCTAATACAACTGACCCAGAAAGATACACATTCTAATTAAAAAAAAAAAAAAAGGCTGCCAACAGAATGAATAAAGAGGTGGAAAAAAACTTTTTCAATTCCCTTTCACATAGAGGTGCTTACCAGCATATTAAAACCTCAGTTCCCATAAAATCAAGCATGTATGGGTTAAATGAGCATGGTAACCACCCATTTTACCTTTTTCCTTGTTTTATTATAGTCGTTATCAATTTACAAAGTACTTTCACAGTCCCTGCCTCACTGTAACCTCAAAAATGGCCCCGAGGTAGCACAGGTGTGGACAGTAGCGGTGCCACTTACCAGATGAGGAAATGGAGCTTCAGAAAGGCAACAGGCTTGCAAAAGGTCACTACAGAAACAGAATTGAACCTAAAACCTCTGCTTTTGAACTCCTAAAAACGCTTTGCTCTTTCTGCTTATGCTTCTAGAATGGACTTCTTGGTCTAAATGCCTACTGTCTAAAAACCAAACTGGCAAACCCAACTGGGCTAATGATGGAAAGCCTTGACAGAAAAAATACTGAAGAAAGAAAGATAAAGAGTGGAACTTCCACTTGCCTTTGTAGTGAAAATTTCAAAAGCCTACAAAGCACATTAGGAATTGAATGGAGACTGTTGTGAAAGCTATAAAGGTTCTGAGGAAATAACCATGCGGCCTCCTTCTGTACACCAGGTCCAGTGATGCGGATGCAGCACCTAGGTGTGACTCCCTGTCACGTGAACAGTGAGAGTACACACAAAGAACGGCCTGTTTCAGGACACATGTTTGAACTAGACACCAGGTTTGAATATGTAAGAGAAATTTGGTATTTTTTCTTGGTAAAATTTTTCAAAATAAATCTAAATTTTACATATTTTTTTCTAATATAATTTGCCTGGAAGAGCATAATAAAATCCATACAATGATCAACAATTTCAGGTTTAGAACTTAACTGTCTAATGTTCCACAAATAAGTGAAACCATATGATCACTGACTTTCTCTGCTTGACTTATTTTGCTTAGCATAATCTCCTCCAGTCCCATCCATGTTGATGTAAAAGTTGGGTATTCATCTTTTCTGATGGCTGAGTAATATTCTATTGTATATATGGACCACATCTTCTTTATCCATTCATCTTTTGAAGGGCATCTCGGCTCTTTCCACAGTTTGGCTATCGTGGACATTGCTGTTATGAACATTGGGGTGCATATGGAATAGCATGGAGGACATTAGAAGAAGGAAGGGAAAAATGAAGGGGGGGAATCGGAGGAAGAGATGAACCATGAGAGACTATGGACTCTGAGAAACAAACAGGGTTGTAGAGGGGAGGGGGGGGAGGGGGGATGGGTTAGCCCGGTGATGGGTATTAAGGAGGGCACGTACTGCATGGAGCACTGGGTGTTATACGAAAACAATGGATCGTGGAACACTACATCAAAAACTAATGATGTATTGTATGGTGACTAACATAACATAATAAAATTTAAAAAATTTAAAAAAAGAACTTAACTATCTAATAATTTAGCACTTCTCACAACCATTAACCAGTATCCAATTAACTGCTAACCAATATCTGTATTAACACAATAACCACTCACATTTCATTTCAATTTAAGACTCTCTGCCAAATAATCCCACATTAATGTTATCTACATATATGTGTGTGTATATATATATGTATTTGTATATTTAGGCATTTAAGATATTGTATGTAAGCCATCCTAGCTTAGCAAAAACACTGAATGATGATACATGACATCCTAAACAAATCAGAGACTAATGACCATTTATTTTTGAACAAGATTTAATATTAAAGAAAACGAACTGCAGTTTTGGGAGTGACAGCACCAGGAGTACATACAGTGCAGAACAATGAAATCCTAATTTCAGGACAGAAATTAAATAATTACGGAAATGTTTAAAAATAGCATAAATCCAAATAATTCTAAGAATATCATCTTATTCCTGAAAAAAATGTGTCCAGAGTCTTTATTTCCTTATTTTTTCTCAGAAAGACAGAATAGTGTAATTTTAGGGTAGAAAAAGACTTTAAATTTCTAATTCCAGATCTTATTTTCACTGACATTTGATGTTTTTACCTTCCTTTTAGGCTAAGAAATTCTTAAAACTATAGCTTATTACAGCTATGAACTTTAGTGAAAAACAAAAACATGGAATAAGAAACTAAATATTCAACAGAAAACATTAAAGATCCCTACACTTCCTAAAAGTTGTTTACCTTTTAAATTTAGTTAACACATTCCCAAACAATTTTTAGGTGAATTTTATTTATTTAAATTTAGAAAGAAAGTGATGATTACCTTTCTGTGATTCCAACAAAAGGGCACAACCATTTATGTGTACCTTTGCTGATATTTAAACTCCATAATAATAGTGCTTATGGAAAAATAAAATGTTGTAACATAATCTATTTAATCTGTTTCTTAAAATATATTCAAGAGAACTTTATTAATACAAAGGTTGATAGTTTTCACAAAGCTCATGATTCCTGGTTTAGTCTAAAAGTAAAGGTTACTTAAAATATTCTTATCAGCAGTGAACTTACCATGGAAATCATAAATATATAGAAGAATTGGCTCATTCTGCCCAAATGCACAAAATGCAACCATATTTTCAAGTGGGTGATAAGAAATGTCTCGAATGGGTGATTTGAATGGCAGGTCAGAATACACTGCTACTTGTTCTCCTAAATAAGAAAAGACATGCAATAAGTTGTACTTTCTCAAATATCTCTCATTAGATTATTCTTTAACTTATTAAAAACAGTTATAGTAATAACAAAGCTCGCATTATTTACATGAAAACCCTGATTACTTAAAAATAGTTGAGTAACTCATATTAAATAATTATTTTTCATCCTGTTGGACCTCCTCTACTTCTCATCCCAACCTCTTCAATGAAGTTTTCAAGGCACCAAAAAAAAAAAAAAAAAAAAAAAAAGAGCTTAGCAGGAGAGAAGTACCTGACTCTGAGATCTGACAGCTGAGCAAATGCCAACTAATAACAACTCAGGGAGAACTCTGGGAGGAACTGCAGGCTCTAAAACTGAAGACACTGGTTGAAGGAGGTTTGGTGGGGAATTCATTTTTCTATTTTTTTTCCAGAGACTGAGGTACCACCTGCTTTAAAGATACATATGATTATTAATGGCTAAAAGAGGCCTACAGCAGAGGTCTAAGGAACCTATGAAAACCGGAACTCAAAAATCAAAGAACCAAGATCAAATTATTGAAGGAGAAAAGAGATTTAACACTTCCAAACTGATGCTAAAGTATCAAAACACAGTAAGAAAAAAAAAAAACAAACCCTAAGCGAACCAACTAGTCAAAACGCTTAAAGGAAAGATGGAGACAATGTGCAATTAAGGAGAGCACGTGCTGTGATGAGCACCAGGTGTGATGGACTACTAAATTCTACACCTGAAACTAATATTACACTGTACGTTAACTAACTGAAATTTAAATAAAAACCTAGGGGAAAAAATCAAGAGAATAAACACAGTGAACCAAATACTACTGATTAGAGATATTTTATATTTTATAAAATTCTCTCAATTTATTGCTAAAAAGTGTTTATGTGGTTTTAGCTTTTCTTTTGAAAAGCAAAGGTGAGGCACAAAGGAACTTCCCAATGTACTGATTTATTGTATTGAGAAAACATGAATTACAGTAATTGAGGTAAATTGCTTTTGCTTTTCTTTTTTAAGAATTTTACTTTTAAGTAATCTCTATACCCAATGTGGACCTTACAACCCCAATGATCAAAAGTCGCAAGCTCTATCAACTAAGCCAGTCAGGAGCCCCAGGTAAATTGCTATTAAGTTTCAGACACCAAAACTTTGACAGGAATATGTTTATTTCTAATAAAAAATATATTATAGATATTTAGCCATTTGTATACCCACTTACATTCCAAATTCAGGTTATAAATATTCTGTATTTTGCATTACAATCTTAATTAAGCACTTCTCTTAATAGAGCATAGGAAATATAGTCAATACCATAATAACTTTGTATGATGACACATGGTAACTATACTTACCGTTGTGAGCATTTTGAAATGTATATAATTGTTGAATCATCATGTTTGTTGTACACCTGAAACTAATATTGTATGTCAACCACAATAAAAAATACTTCTCTTAAGATTGCTAATACCTTATTATAGGCAAAGAAAGAATAAACCCTGAATTATAATGTGAAATTCTAAATCCATGAAGATATCAAAACAATAAAAACAGAATTTAATATGAATTTAGACTGCAGCTGAGTGCCATTATCAGTTCTCCCATTTGGAAAAACATAATTGAGAACCTGAAATCAGAATTTTCTTGAAAATTACTCCATAAAATGGTAGTTTCCACACTTCTTCAAAAATAAAAACAAACACCTCAAATTTTTTAAGATCAATGAAATATTTACCTGTTTCTGGGTTCCAAACATATACTATACCATCTTCACTTCCAGCAAAGAGAAAAGTCCCACATGGTGTCAAAGTACTATGAATCTTTTCCCGATAATTTGCTGCACCTACAAATTTCCTTGCTGCTAATCTACAAACAAAAATGATTTCACAAATGTAACCTATCTTACCCATTGAAAAGATTGGTAGTTAAAAAAACCGTTTCTTTTAAATACTTCATTTGCATTTAACAAACAATTTTTTGAGAATCTGTTACATGGGAGACATTCTATGATGGATGCAGAATGAAGAAGAGAGTGTTCCAGAGCTCAGGGAGTTTATAATTTAGCAGGAGAGAGAAGGAATGCATCAATATGAAACAGAAATTGGATGTAGAAAGTGCCACAAGAGAACAAAATGAGTACTTTGCAGATTTGGATAAAAGCGATTTTTTTTTTAAGATTTTATTTATTTGAGAGAGAGAGAGGGAGAGAGCATGAGTGGGGGGAGGGGCAGAAGGAGAGGGAGAAGCCTACTCCCCGCTGAGCAGGGAGCCCCATAGTCCCCCCAGGACCCTGGGATCATGACCTGAGCCCAAGGCAGACACTTAACTGACTGAGCCACCCAGGCGTCCCAAGTGATTATTTCTAGCTATGAGGAGAGAGTCTATTTTGTGGGAGTATCATTTGAGTTGGTTACGTAAAAATGTACAAGATTTTTATATTCTTATATTTTTCCCATGTGATAAATTTTTAAAGTCACACAACAAATAGTTGGATCCTTGCAGGAATATTAGACAAAAATATTATTAAATCATCTATTAAATATGGTATATAACCTTCTAGACTTTTTCATTTGTGAATAATAGCTAACATTACTTTTTTAATATATTATTTTTATATTTATTTGAGAGAGAGAGAGCACAAGCAGGGGGAGCAGCAGAGGGAGAGGTAGAAGCAGGCTCCCCACTGGGCAGAGAACCCCATGTGGGGCTCAATTCCAAGACCCCAGGATCATGACCTGAGCTGAAGGCAAGATGCTTAACCAACTGAGCTACCCAGGTGCCCCAATAGCTAACATTATTTTAGTGCTCACTATGTGCCAGGCAAGTACTATTATCATCCCTGGTTTACAGAAAGGACATTACATACAGTGTCCCATTATATGCTTTTTCCCCCCCATTTAACAATAAATCATGAATAATGGCCCTCTGTGTCAGAAAATATAGATTATGTATTCATTTTAGTAGGTATATATTATATCACTGCCTAAACATACCTTAAGAAATCTACTGTGGGACAAGAGTTAGGATGTTTCTAGCTTTCCCTTACTATGAACATGATTTCTATGAACAATCTTGGGTATATATATATTTTCGCTGTTTTATAATTATTTTCACATAAATTCCCAGACCTGAGGTCACTGGCTCAAATGTTTCTGGAGTCCTTGCTATATGGTGTAATGCTTTAAGTACTTTATACGTGTAAACTAATTTATTCCCCACAAAACCCTTATGAATGTGGTATATTATTTCCCCCATTTGAGTGAGGAGGAAAGAGAGGCTCAAAATGGTTAATCAGTTGGTCAGGGACGGACAAGATGTTATTTGACTCTAAGCAGTTAGCCTCTAGAGCCCAAGCAGAATTCTAAGCTGAATACTATACACTACTTAAAAAGAGAATAACCAAATTCTTTAGGCCTGGCCTTCTAAAACCTGGCACTAATCTCTATTTCTGACAAAAATTTTTTTCAGCACTCCTTATCAAGAAATTAATGTTCCTACAGACTTACCCTGCCTTGATCACAACTTCTATTATCCTTCCTCTGAATTTTATTCCAGGCTTTTCAGGTTTTCCACCCTCCTGACAAACTTCTAATCTTGTCTAAATTCTATCCATCCTTTAAGATCGAGCTCAAAGGCCAGCCTCTGCATAGAGCTTTTAACACAAGGCTGTAGTACAGCCATCCTTACAATTACCTGCTGCCATGAAAGATATAATCCTTTTAAGTACTTATAGTCACTAAAATAATACATATCAAGTACTTGCTATCTCTCAAGCATGAGTACTATGTATAAAAGAAGAATAAGCAGATTCCAGTCCTAGAAGACCTCACATTTTAGCCTAATTAAATGTTTTGTGTTATTTTGGAGGCACTATAACTAGATTATAAACTTCTGACGAACTACTCTGCTAATCATTTTCCCATAGTACTGATGCCAGTATCCTGAAAAGCTCTACATAAACACTGAAGGCCTTAACAGTTAGTCCTACAAGATAATTGCAAAATAAACTAGTATAGATCGCATTTTCCTTTCTAAACACAATAATGAAATCTAATAAAACTAGAGTTCTCATTTGTTTTATTGGTATGCTTAACACCAAAACAAAAGTACATCAGAATACTATGCTGATTTTTCCAGAACTGTTTCTGTTTTTTACATTAAGGAAATTGCCTTTCCTTATTTAGAAATAAAACAAAATAGGAAAAACAAGGATATATTAATCAAAAGCTGTCTCATTCTGTTACAGTATAATATTGTAGTACTATGCTGTAACAATATCATAGAGATAGAAGATACTCTAAGCAGAGGTTTCCTGTTTTTTTTTTTTAATTGTGACAACAAAAAGCAACTGACTACATTTCAGCTTCAGAACTATTTACATTTTGAGCCAGAAAATTCTTTGTTGTGGGGGGCTGTCTCATAAACTGTAGGATGCTTAGTAGGATCTCTGGTCTCTATCCACTAAATACTAACACTTAAAAATGCCTCTAGACACTGTAAGATGTCCTCTGAGGGGAAAAACTATCTACATGAGAACCACAGCTGGATTTTTTAAGTATGCATTAATTCATTTCTTATTCCATGAGTGCTTAACCTGTCAACACAGAAATATACTTACATTCGGAGATCCATAATTCTCAAAGTACTGTCTTTGGTATGGATTAACAATCGTTTTCCATTGGGATGAACCTCCAAATAACTTATGGGAATCCCCTTAAACTCACTCTCTTTAATTTCCTAAAATGATTAAAAAATATTATAAAATATTATCACTGTACAGTTTGTCTAATATGAAGCCCCTTTTAGAGCACAAAATTAAGTCATTTTCGATTGCAATTTTAGGATCCTTTAAAATGGTTAGCAAAAGGGTTCCCAGTAACTTCAGTTATAGGCTGAAAATAAAGTTGATAGTATGTATTTTTTGACTGTTATGTAATGCCACATTTAGTTAGCATTTTTGTAGTGTATTCCCAAATAAGCACTTCCTAAAACACAACTTCTAACTTTGTATTTTTTTGCTTACCATCATACATGAAAAACTTCTAATTTTTATGACTTCAAAAGTTAGTATAGAATTACCTTTCAAGTTTTATTTCAGTCTGAGATTATTTCTTTATGCACTTACTTCCACTTTGTCCTGAAAAAGATAAGTTACTGGCATCTTATTCTAAGATCATTTAATTTAGATTGTAATTTTAGGGATTTTTTTTTTTTTGAGGAACAAGAATCAAGCTTTTTATTTGTTCATTTCTTGCACTGGAAGTATTCTTCGATGACATCCTTGGCCTGAGACTCTGCCATAGTCTTTAACCACCACACAACTGCAACCAACGGCTTGATGGGGTTCTCCCCGCTCTGTCAGTTTCACAGAGGCCTACCCATTCCCATAGTTTCTTGTCATCAACCTTAATTAGGTTGATTTGGTGTTCAGCACAAAGGGCCTCCACCAACTTGACATATGTAGGCTCATCAGAGCTGGATGCAAGCATGCAAAGATGGGCTTGGCACTCGTCTAAGGCTTTGGCAGCTTTGCAAATTCCACGTGCTAGGCCATGGTGGATGAGGGCGGTCTTCAGCACCTCGTGTAAAGCAGTATTAATGACCATTACACCTCCAGCAGCAATGGTTTCCTCGGCCACGGCGGTAGGTTACAGGTGGAATTGAATCTTAAGGGCACTGAGCCTCCAGGATTTTTTTTTTTTTTTTTTTGATAGTTATTTAAGGCAGCCTAACAAATGATGTCAAGAAAGACCTACATACTGAAGGAAAATCTGCCTGGATGAGCCTCACATAAGAAAAATTACCAAAGGTTCTTCTTGTGTGGATTACTAGAAAAAAGAAAAAAACCTGCAAATGCGAAACTGCTGAGACTGAAGTCCAGAGGGTCCGAAGAAAGCCTGCTTTAACCTTCAGGCAGAATTCTGAATTAGCCTTCTCTTCCTTCAAGGACCCGCTAGTATGTTTTGTCTCCTTCTCTGAGGTCTCCTCTTCGGAGGTGGTTTGGCACCAGCAGAGGTGCAGTCCAAACTGCTACAATCCGAGTCTCAGCAGCTAAGCCCAGGCTACCGCTGACAGGAAGGCCTACTGTTAGCTGCTTTGTAAAAGTTACCGAAAAAAGTCAAACACTGACAGCACAGATGGGGGGGTATAGTGACTGCACTGTAACAATTTGGGGGTGGGGATGCACTGCTGGGGGTCTGAGCAACACTCACACAGATGCAAATGTGCAAAATCAAAAAACACAAAACTGTCTAACAAGTGTTAGACATGAATTTGACAAAAGTGCCAGAAGATTTAGCATTTATGGTATCTGTTAGTGATTTCCTCTCTATTTTTTCTTACCATATTCATACTCAAACAAAAAAAAAGCCTTAGTTTTGGAGCCCATGTCCCATGCCAAGGAGCGTGTGCCACAGCACATGGACACGTCATCCTAAGAGACAGATGAGTATAATTTAGCATTCCTCACACTGCTGCCTGAAGAGAACCAGGTAAGAAATCAGGGTCTACAGTTTGTCCTAGGGCATTAGCTACCAAAAGATATTCCAGCTCATTTTCTAACTTTTTATTTTGGACTGTCTCGAGTCACCTCCAGGCTGCAGATTTTGAAGATAAATTTGCCTTTTAGTTACTATATTAAGGTAAAGAAACACATGATTTTTAACATAAATAGCAGACTCTGCACTGTACACTCAAATTACTGGAAAAGGCGCCTTTGGAGTTTTGTCAGTCCCTTAGGTATGTAAGTAATTAGAAAGTTCTTTTCAAAGTGTGTGAAATTAGGCTACCACATGAATCCCAAGCCATCAATCATTAATCTATAGACTAGATGAAAATGACTAAAAATAGAATAAACAGTTTTTAAAATAGATCTGATAGATTCAACAGATTTAACTAAAGTTCATAAAAATTCTTTTTCACTTAGCGTGTCTTTTTTTCAAATGAGGACAACCGTTATAATAGAAGAACAAAAAACTGAAGAACAAAAGTATAGTATATAAGACAAACTATATCAACTTACATAAAACTCAGGTTTAATAATTCATTTTGTATTTTTAAGTAAAAATACTGAATATGCACCAATAAAATTGCTTAATATACCAGCCACCCTAAAAACACTCTACTCCCAAAATAAAAGATCATTCGTTTCTGCCTACTTGGCAAAATTCAAATGAAAACAATTATTGTGAGTAAATGATAGACCCTACTCATAATTACATACTTTTGATTATGTAATTGTAAAAGACAACAAAACATTGAGCACACTGTTTTTAGAGTGATGTTATGGGGTCAAAAAAGAAAATGAACAGCAGAAAACATAAGTTATTACTTATAGATGGTAATATAACATGTGCTTAATTTTAGCATAATTCCAGTAATGGATCACTGAATGTCATATCACAAATTAGGGTTCAAAGATAAAGTAAAGTTTGGCCAAAATGAAAATTTTCACTAGGTTGCTATATCATCAATTAGCCATCAGGAAGACTAGATCATTAGTCAATGATAACTGACTTTGTAGGGACTGAGAAAAACTTAATTTTTTTCAGAAGAGAGAAAGAATGTCCTGATGCCTTATTTCTAAAGTCATGTGGTTCAATTTTTTTCTAATTTTTTAAATTAAACCCCAAGTATGAAATATGATTTTATACCTTATTTATACTCCAGTGGCGCACTGAATGTTGCACATCATTAACTTTGACATAGGTATTCCAAACAACAATCACCCCAGTGCAATCTCCTGAATACATGTGATGACCTATTTAAAAAAATAAAATCACTCACTTATGAATACTACACACAGGTAGAAACAAAATGAAACTGGGAAAACACAACCCAGTATAACAAAGAATCAGAGGGCTATTAAACAGTTTAGTAAAAAGAAAAAAAAAAGTAAATAAAAACCCAAATACAAGTCATAGTCAAATCCCAAGTATCTTTAAATGAATTCTTCACTCTTGTGAATTACTTTGGATGATGTATTTCCCTTTTATCACTTACAGGAAATTGAATACAAAAAGAAATGAGCATCTCATTGCATCTGTATATGGTCCAAATTCTACAGCCAAACAAATCATCTGAATTATCCAATACAAATCTATAATGTTCACCTTTATTAACCTATATAATCTGCTTTATATTCCTGGAAAAACACCTATATTCTAATATATAATGTTAGCAAAATGCCTGAGACCAGCAGAAACTCAATAAACAATCAAGGAATGAATAAAATGATAAATGACAGGTATTCCAGTTTAACATATATTCTTAGAGTCAAACCATCTTATAGTTGAATGGGACCTAAGAGACCATCAAATTCAACTTTATACTCACTCAGGAATATCTTCCACACCATCATGAACAGATGGTTGTTCAGTAACTACGAACTTAATATTTTACAAAGCAGCTATTCAACTGATGAACTGCTCTATACACTAGAATGTTCTTTCCAATTCTGAACAAAGAATACCTGTCTGTGGTAGCTTTGGTCCCGTCTCTACTTACTGGAGCAACACAGTCTGATTTCTTTTTGTTTCACATATGGATATCTTAGTCAAGTATTTGAAGAAATTCATGTCTTTTATAATCTGAGCTACTTCTACTATGATAAAGTTTGCAGACACCTTTCTATTCTTGGTTGACTTTTCCTTAATGTGTTCTAATTTCTCAACATCTTTGTAGTTAAAATGAATATATTAGCAGTATTGTCATTTTGATCTGTATCCTATACTAATTAATTATAGCTGTAGTCTACATATCAGTGTCTGAAATAATGTAAATGTGACTATATACCATTCTCATAAAGGTTTGTGGGGAATAAATTAGTTTATACATGTAAAGTACTTAAAACATTACAGCGCATAGCAAGGACTCCAGAAATGTTTGACTCGGCAACCTCAGGTTTGGGAATTTTTATTAAGAAAATAATTATAAAACAGTGCAACAAAGTTTTGTATATACATGTATGTATGCATGTGTATGTGTGTATCTATACTATTCACAGAAATCATGTTCATGGTAGGAGAAAGCTGGAAACATCCTAAGTACTGCCAACAATAGAATGTTTCTTAAGATACATTCAGACAACTACATAATACATACCTATTAACTGTTAGCTAAATGCAGAGGTGCTCAGTGCACAATGTACACAGTATATGGTGTAAATACAGGTTTCCCCTGCTATCTACCTAATATTCTTTTGGTATTTCCCTCTTCTTCCTCATTTTAACCCTTAAAACTCAAAAGCCACTTATAAGAAACCTACTGGAAAAAAAAAAAAAGCCTACTGAGGGGGTAATCACCAATCCAATGAAATATATTTATGAAATTTGGTATGACTGGTTGTTACAGCAAAGATTAGTTCAATCTAAACATTTAAGAATTTAATGACTTAAATGACTTTTTAACAAGATTTTATTAATTTGAGAGAGAGAACATGTGCAGCGGGAGGAGCAGAGAAAGATGGACAAGCAGACTCCATGCTGAGTGCAGAGCCCAACATGGGGCGCAATCTCATGACCTTGAGATTGTGACCTGAGCCGAAATCAAGAGTCGGACACTTAACCGACTGAGCCACTTAGGTGCCCCCGGAATTTAATGACTTTAAAATTACAAACAAAACTCCCTCACTGCTAAATCTGTGTCCAGGTCTACCATATGATCTGCAAAATACACATAAATCCAAAAATGTACAATCATCAATATACAAAATCCTTCTCAAGCTTAAAAAGATTATCTTAGTGAACAAAAATTATTTTTAAAAATTCTTCATGCAACTAGCCTTCCTTTGGAATATATTCTGACATACCTTCAATATCAAAACAGAGAGAGTTGATGAAACTCCTGTGCGTGTCAAACTGTCGGATCAATATGGCAGGATCCTCTCTCATATCAATCTTCCATATCCGTATCACAGAATCATAGCAGCCTGTAACCACCAGTTCTTTTACAGCAGGATGGAATTTAGCCGTGTAAACAAAAGAAGGATGGGGTAAAACTCTGAAAGTATTGGTATTATTTATTTCATTTTTCCATATCCTGGGAAAGGATAAAAAGTTATATATTGCTTCTGAAAGGCAGAAGTTTCTGTAACTTTCTCTAAAAACCAACACAGCCAATGGAACTTAAGTAAGCAATGACAATAACCAATGGTAAACTATGTTTTATAACAATCAAAAATAATGTGATCAAATATTTGATGGCTGGGGTTCTTTACATTTAACAAAGCTATTTATTAGTTATTATCAAGCATAATGGTTAATTTGTCTACTAATTTTAATCTATATTGTAAAATGAAAAATTATATTTGGATATGTTTTTTTAAAAACCTATTTTTGACATTGATTAAACACATATGGAATAGTTGGTAACATACTGCATTTAGTACATTACCCACAAAAAATAAAATATGGAAGAGCTTTAATTATTCCCCATTTAGGTTGTGTATATTGCTTTTGCAAAGTGCTCACTAGTAGAGGTTTAGAGAATAAGATATCTATTAACTTTGTAATTTCCAAGCCTAGATAATGATCATGATCTCAAAGTCTTAAAAGCCATATTGAAATTACTGAGTAATTGATACCTGAGTAAAATAAGATTAAAATAACTGTATTTTGATAGAAAACAGACTATCTTACATTAAACACTCAATTTATGTTCAACACTTTTACTATCTCTTCCTCTAAATAACAATTTTTAAAAAGTAGTATTACTGTGATTGCTGCAATCTTGACAAAAGAGCAAACCCTAAGGGTTAAAACTGTTATGTTAGATACTCCACATTTCTAGTCAGTGTAAAAATAGGCAAAATCTAGCAAAAGAAAGGTGCTAAATGAGTATGGAACACTGGATTTTAAACAGTTTGATTAAATTATTAGAATTAGAAAAATATATTAATTTTAATAGGGGGATTTATAGTTCATTCTTTTAATTATGACCTAAGAACTAAAGCAAATTAAGTCCTTTTCAAAATTATGGATGAAAGAAAAAAATACAGTTGCCATTCAAGAATAACATTCTATGAGTTTTCTCAGCAGCTGCTTCAAATACAGGATATGATCTTCAATTACTAAGAATCCAAACTAATAATGGAGGAAGTGAAAGAACATGTTTTCAAATGAAGATAAAGCACGTGTGTCCCTGCATAAACATTTTTACCATGGTAATACTTTCAATGAATATATGCTACATGAAATACAATACTTACTGAAAGAACAAAATCATTAATTTGTGATTAAGATTATTAAAAGAAGATTGTTTAAAAGATAAAAACTTCAGTTGCTTGCTTAAAAATCTTAGCAGTATTATTTGAAATACTATATAACAGGCAGAAATGAAACAATCATATCTTAAAAGCAGCTCAATTAAAATAGACACAGTATTTTAAAATAAAAATGAAGACTTTTATGTAAAGACCTAACTGGTATCAATGATGGGTTTTAGTCAAGCAAACAACGGTTGAGTCCAAGAACAAAAGAAATGTATAAATGAGTTTGGGGAAAAAACAGGCTGATTACAAAGAATAAGGAAATACACAAATTTGTAAAGACTAGATGAGCACACAAAAAAATTATTAGAATTGGGAAAGAAAAAACATGCAGTTACAACAGTATGTGTGATGAGGGGCAACATGGGGACATATGCGCCTAACTGGGAGCCATTACATGTTGAAAAAGTCTGATTATATGAAGAGCTGTTGGTTAGAGAAAAACACAGATTGTACTGAAGATAACTAAAGAAGATTTCAGTTAACCTACATGGCAAAGAGCTAACCAGTGGGAAACAGTTACTCAGGAGCCACTAACAGTAACCAGGAAGGCAGAAGAAGACCAGGCCAGAAGCTCATGCCTCTGCCACTCAGAGCATTAGCAACTCTAATTATCTTCCTTTGACTTTAGCTTATTCATTTTAAGTAGTCCCTACACGTCTTTCAAAAACCTCACTCTTTTTGGTTCTAGCTACAATGTTTCTCTCTTCACTCAGTTAATCCTACACAAATATTTTTATGATATAAAGAGCTCTCAATCAGTATCAAAGCTACATAAAGAAAAAAGTATACTTTACTACAATATATTATATGCTGTGCGCAAAACTCCAAGAGACTTCAAGAAATGGATAAACCTGAGCTGGGTTTTAAATGATGACTCTGAGCCCAGAGCAGCTCACAAACGGCGCTTAAATGTCTGCTGAGTGACTGAGTTGGGCAGGAAGGCTGGGAAAAGGGCCCTTAAGCACAGGAAGAGGAGGCATGGAGATACCAAAGAGGGTAAGAAGCCAAGAGCGTTTCAGAAGATTGTGTGGGTGAGGCCGAGGGTACATGGTAGTGCACAGGAGAAGGATGCTGGGTCAATGAGAAATGTGCCTGTTAGGCCATGCTATATGGAGCTGGAACATTTTCAAAAGGGCTGTGGGAATCAAAGACTTGAAAATCAGGGCATTATGAAAAAGCGTTGTGGAAAGATGGAAGAATAAGAGACTGAGCAGTGGGAAAGTTTAGCACCAACAGTTTAAGCAAGAGACAGACAGCAAGGGCCTGAATGAAGGTAACAGCAGTGAGGATAGAAAGGGTGTGACCGAATGGTGAGGCTTTTAGGAAGGCGAACTGACAGACTACGGTACTGCTTGGATATGGGAAGGAACGGTGGGAAGAAAAAAAGAAATGAGTGTTACTCTGGGTTCCTGGCTTGGGAGACAGGGTGGATGCCATTAAAAAATCCACAAGAGGACTAAAAGAGAAAAGCAGTTTGGTGGTATCAGCACGTCTGGTTTTGGATGTGAGGTGCCACTGGCAGTCTAGACAGAATAACAGAAAGTGAAACTCAGAAAAAAAGTGGGAGTCCGCCTATAGAAGTGAGATTCAAAGCTGGCGAAGGTGAGAGAGACCAGGATGAGCACAGCAAACCAGGGAAGATGCTCAAGTAGGAGGATTCTGGGAATGAACATCTAGAGAGAATAGACAGAGGAAGAGGGAGGAGAGACAGGGAAAAAGAACTGGCCAGAGTCATAAAAAGCAAACAGAAGAGGCTGTTAATGAAACCATTAGTTGGAAATATTTTAAAACTGGTCAATAATTACTGCAGTGCAAGCAAACAGGGTAAGGACCCAAACTGGCCACTGGATCTGAAAATCAGCAAGAAACTGCTGACCTCTTAAAGAAGGCAGATCTAGCAGGGTAGGTGTAAGAGCCAGATTCACTGGGTTGAGCTGAAGACAACATGTGCGGAACGTTCTTGATGTTGTAGAAAGAAAAATAATGTGGTAATCTGGAAAGCAGGAAGAACCGAGGAAAATATTTCTTAAGACGAGGAGAACTGAGCATATTTTTAAGATGAGAGGACAAAATCAAAAGAAAGGAAGATACTGAAGAGAGAAGAGAGGTAGGAAACAGAATTGCAGATTGAAGGACTGAGATTAAAAGCACATGTCAAAGAGTGGCCGGAAAGGTGTCTTTACCCATACGTCTTTGTTAAGAGCAGCGGACAGAGATAAAGATGGGTACATTTATAGATATTGGGTGGGAAACCAGAGGGAGATACAGGAAGTTCACGTCTGACATAATTTCACTGTAAGTTGAAGGCAGTCAGCTAATGAAAGCGGGAAGATCTGACTCAGTGTAGAGAACCTGAAGTGCCCTAAGGCTTGGATGTGCTGCCAGAGGAATAAGAAAAGATAGCTGCATAATAAAGCTAAGGAAAACGCTTGCTTGGCTGAGATGAGAGCTCAGGTGATTTTAAGACTTACAAATCCAGTCAGGCCTTTGCAAGGTTATGAATTTTTCTCTAGTACAACTGGGCATCCGACAAAATGGCTTTGTTTAGAGAACAAACAGACCAGAGGGTTTTTTTTTTTTTTTTAAAGATTTTATTTATTTATTTGACAGAGAGAGACAACGAGAGAGAGAACACAAGCAGGGGGAGTGGGAGAGGGAGAAGCAGGCCTCCCGCTGAGCAGGGAGCCCAATGCGGGGCTCGATCCCAGGACCTCGAGATCATGACCTGAGCCGAAGGCAGACGCTTAACCGACTGAACCACCCAGGCACCCCCAGAGCAGAGGTTCTGAAGGATCCTATTAAGAGAGACTAACAGCAGGTGCCCAGCTACACAGGGAAGGAAATCAAGTCTCACCAATTACCATCTTTTGCATTTAAATACTAAACAGTAATGATAACATCTTAATCAATTAGACATTTTATATTAAAAAGGAAGCTGATAAGATTAATAGAAAGGACTCAGACACTAGAGGTGTCTGTTAAAAAAGCAGGAAGCAGAAGTAAATAAGAGGACATCCCAAACTGCTCTAAATATCAGCTTCCTGGTGTACAGAGATCAAAAAAGATTTATGTGTATCCACCTACATTTGTTGGAATGAAATTAAATGACATATATAATACATATATAACATAAAGCATCTTGAAAAACTGCCTAATAATACATTTAGAATGCACTCAAGGTAGAACAAGCAGCTAAAACAGTATCAAGGAAATTTTACAAAGTAGCTTTAAAAAATTTTATTATGATACTTACTAAGTTGGAAAGGGTTAAATTATTTTATAACTGACATTCTGAAAAATGCAAATACTGACAATCTATAAAACTCTTAAAACATAAGGTACATATTCACTTAACAGGTAGGTAGTACTCCCTGCTTTTCAAAGTCTGCATTACACCACTTAGCATTTACCTAAGACCTACGTCAGTACCTGTTTTCACTAACCAGAAGAAATCTGAAGAGGATTTTTGCTTTAATGAGAAAAGGAGAAAGGCAAAAATTGAGTTCAGCACTTGTTCTGCCATGAGCCCTTACAGAGGGAGCGTGCAGCCCCAGCAGCAGGGCGGGGGGCACTATACCCAGCAGCTCCACGTCAAGCTGCCACAGCTCTGAATTCTGTCTACCAACATCTGTACTTTATCTCAATTTATTTTGTGCATCCCTTAGAGCAAGATGTTCCCAAGGTATCAGAAAACTCCAAGAGGGGTTATTTTTGGGGTCTGAGAATGCTCAAAAAATTTTCCATATAAATTAAGTTATTCTTCCCCTTATGCCATTTCGTCTTAGGCAAGGTTTCTGTTCCTTGTGGTCTATGATGCACTGTGCATCACTGAGGCCTGGCCCCTGCCCACAGCTAACAGAGAAGACAGAAGTCCTACCATTAAAAGCTTATATTCTAGGAAAAAATATCAACTGTTTACCTATGTCAAACAGTGTACAGTATTAATCAGTGTACATAATGATCATTTAAGGACACTGAGAACTAGAAGCTTTACGTATTACATAAATAAAATATATTTAATAAAAACATCTTTAGGAAAAAGTTTTCCCACTACTACTGATCTAATCAGTCTGTATGATGCATCTCTATGACAGTCCCTTGATAAGGAAAATATTACTGAAGCATAAGAAGAGTTATATCACTCTATAGTCTCTTTGCTTTCCTTGATGGCAAACAACATACACAGTAAGTACTTCTCGAGTATACTAACCTGGCAGTGCCATCAGATGATGCGGTAAGGATACAGCGATCATCATCTGACCAGCAAAGATCATAAATGATATTGAGGTGGCCACACAATTCTCTCATGAAACGCCCAGAAGGAATTTCGTATACTAAAGAAAATATTAAAAAATTAGTAGGTTTCCAGCCAGAGTCCTTAATCCAGTAATATACAAATATATAGCTTAAAATAATTTGCACACAGTCTCTAAGAATATTATCACCAAAGATTATTTTCAGCATAAAAAAAATCTCAAAGTCTATTTAAAAATAGTTTTTCATTTCCTTCAGACACAAGAATTCACACTATTATCAAATTTTATAATATGCTACAATTACTCTCATCTCTTCAAAGCAATTTTCCTAATAATCTTTGACAATCAATTTATTAATCAAGTAACAAATAACATTTATTTTATTTTTTTAAAGATTTTATTTATTTATTTGACAGGGAGAGAGAGCTAGTGAGAGAGAGCACAAGCGGGGAGCGGCAGGCAGAGGGAGAGGGAGAAGCAGACTTTCCGCTGAGCAGGGAGCCCAACGCAGGGCTCGATCCCAGGACCCTGGGATCATGACCTGAACCAAAGGCAGACGCTTAACCGTCTGAGCCACCCAGGTGCCCCAATAAATAGGATTTAAATTGCAATTCACTTCAAAGATTCTATAATTTGGGCTTTCATGAATAAGATATTACTTTACCCGAAAATCAATTAAATTCCAACCAAAATTTTAACTATTTAAAGAAGAAATTTAAACTGTGCTGTTAGAAAAGAATTTAAAAAAAAAGATATTATTTATTTACTTGAGAGAGCGAGAGTGAGCGCCAGCTGGAGGAAAGGGCAAAGGGAGAGGGAGAAGCAGACTCCCTGCTGAGCAGGGAGCCCAGTGCAGTCAGGACCCTGGGATCATGACCTGATCATGAAGATGCAGCTGAGCCCCTCAGGCACCCCTTGTTAGAAAAAAATTCTAATGCTAAAATGATATGAGAATTAACAGAGACCCAATCTGATAAACAAGGCACTGCAGTATTGCTATAAGTTAGGTTCACAATGAAATCTTCTAAGATAGTGACTTAATTCAGAACAACAAAGTCTGCAAGTCTCTACTTCCACCTAGTGGTAAAACCGAATGCCCTTTAAAATACTAAGCAGTACAGAAGTACTTATGGAATAGCAAAGAAGGACTTCAGAATATCTGCTCCCACAGATCCGTACCTCTGAAACAAATAATACATTATATGTTAAAAAAAAAAAAAAAAGAAGATAGGAGGGGAAGAATGAAGGGGGGGAATCGGAGGGGGAGATGAACCATGAGAGACGATGCACTCTGAAAAACAAACCGAGGGTTCTAGAGGGCAGGGGGGTGGGGGGATGGGTTAGCCTGGTGATGGGTATTGAGGAGGGCACGTTCTGCAGGGAGCACTGGGTGTTATACGCAAACAATGAATAACAGAACACTACATCAAAAACTAATGATGTAATGTATGGTGATTAACATAACATAATAATAATAAAAAAGAAAATTCCAGGCGAAAAAAAAATAAAAGTCCTTCCTATTAAAAAAAAAAAAAAGAATATCTGCTCCCTGATAAAAGCAATGAGAACACTGCAAAAATTATCCAAATTAATTTTTCAGAACTCTAGAAATTAAACAAAGGCTTGCAACAATCTGAGGAGCATTTATTCCAGAAAAACAGCTTAATCTTGGTAAGAACATGAACTTTGTGGTATTTTAACTTGCCATGTTCCCATTCCACTCTCCCAAGCTCCCTCGTAGCTTTAGAAACCAACAGCCTCACAACTTAAAGCCGGCTGCCTAGCAGCCATGGGATGGGCCAGAAGGCGTAAGAAGCTCCCCCAAAGCCCCATCCCCCATACTTACCACTATTACGACAGTCTGGCAGTTCCCTAAAAGGCTCTATTCTCAGGGCTTGGTTTACTTGACTTGGCTCAGAGCATGCTGTGTGTGAAGAGCCCTAACCCCAAGGTGCATGCTGAAATAATCAGTGGCACAACTATATGAGGCAGTGATACCAAGGCTAAGGAGAGGCTGAGCAAAAAACATAAAAGGAAAAAACTGGGAATGAGATGTCCAGAGGGGACTTTGAAAAGATCCAACAAATTCCTGGGAACCTAGCAGGACATATGTATGTGAACAAAAGACCAGAGGCCCTCTCTCACTCTCACTGACCTGAAAGTGCAGGCTAAGGCAGAGTTGCAGATTACCGGCCGTGAGGTGTTAAGAGCACATCCCAACACACACACAGATCTGCTTGGTAAAGGCTGGGCGATCTACTCACTCAAGGCATTTAAAAATCTCTACCATAGCTGACCACCAAGCTAAGTGAGCAGAGACTTCAGCAACAACAAATCCTGGGTGGATAGGTGCAGAGGAGGGGGAAGGAGAGGAATCCGATTTCCAGACCTGCCACACACGTTAATATAGAGACATGAAGAAACCAAAACAGTCACGTAGAGCCGTACACAGGAAACCAGGCAGTCCACAGAATGCCCAGAAGGGAACCAAGATGCTGTTCTAGACAAAGACTTTAAATCCACTCTTACAAATATGTTAAAAGATATAAAGGAAACCATGTCTAAAGAAATAAGGTGTGAGAATAATTTCTCGCCAAAAAATAGTATCAGTAAAGACACAGAAATTAGTAAAAAAAAAAAAAAAGAATGAATAAAAATTCTAGAGTTAAAAAGTACAATAATGGAAATAAACAATTCACTAGAGGGGCTCACTAACAGATCTGAACTGGCAGAAGACTCAACTTAAAGACAGGTCATTTGAGATTATGCCATCTGAGGAACAGAAAGAAAAAGAATGAAGAAAACTGAATTAAAGCTGCAGGGACCTGTGGGACACCACCAAGTGTACAGAGAGATGATGAGAGTCTCAGAAGAGAAAAAACAGAAAGGAGAACAATCTGAGGAAACAAAGACTGAAAATTTCCTGATTTTGTGAAAAACAGTAATCTACACATCCAACAAGCTAAATGAATTCCAAGCAGACACATCATAGCCCAACAATTAGAAACCAAAGCCAAAAATTCTTCCTCTGTGTTTTGAGACTTAAGTATTAAGTATGTCTAAATTCATATAGCATTTTGAACAAGATTTCTTTCAGCATAAAATAACACATATTTATCACTGAAATGCTAAAAATATAAATTAGAATGAAAATAATTCTCTCACTAGCCAAAAGAAAGAAATCACTATTAATACTATGAATCTTTTTTCCTCCATGCATAGGTTTTGGTGAATTTTTAAAATAGCATGGCTGTAATCAAACTACACAAATTTTGTGTTTTTTAAAGCTAACATCATTTCATGAGGAGGAATATTTATTTAATATATGCTAACCAAGCCAATTATGAGTCCTTGCTGAAAAGAGTAATTCACCTGAAATAAACTGTGTGAGGCTGAGGGAAGTTTAATACCACCTAGTGCGCCTGGGCGGCTCAGTTGTTGGGTGTCTGTCTTCGGATCGGGTCACGATCCCAGCGTCCTAGGACCGAGTCCCGCATCGGGCTCCCTGCTCAGCAGGAAGCCTACTTCTCCCTCTCCCACTCCCCCTGCTTGTGTTCTCTCTCTCGCTGTCTCTCTGTCAAATAAATAAATAAAATCTTAAAAAAAAAAAATACCGCTTAGGGCAGATGCCCACAAGGAGCAGGCTACTTCCTGCTGAGGAAGCTGACACAAGAAATAAGGGCAAGTATTTAATGCCCCTCAGTCTAGAAGAGCAGATAATGCTCACTTAAAGCTACAGAAATTTTTCTTTTTAAGTTTTCTTACTTTTTTAAAGGCAATTTGAAAGTGGGTTTGGGCCTCCCTGCTGCCTTGCTGCCATAAGGAGGAGTGGTTCGCTAGGTGCTCCTGAGCTAGCTGTCACTGTTCTAGTGCATAAGGAATTTGAGGGCTTTCATAATTTAAATTACTACTGCTATCAACTGACCACAGTGGGCTAGAACGCCTCATGAGATTTATTAATCCCTTCATGTTTCTAAATTTCTATATTTAAAATAGAAAATACTTACAAAAATCCTCTTACATGTTTTAAAAATAAACTTACCATCCTTCATTTGATTATTCTCATTCTCCTTTTGAACATATATTTTACAGAAAACTGTAAAATTATTATTAAAAAACTGGGGGTTACTCAAATTAATATTTCAATGAGTTTTAAAAACCAAACAATGTCTTCCACATAGACTTCAATCACATTAAACAGACAGAATTATTACTCACAGATAATTGGATATCCATCCCGGCTGGCACAGGCTGTTGCTAATATTCTTCCATTATGAGAGAAAGCAAGACAAAAACATCCTCTTTCTCCTGCATTTAGTGAGAAGAGGTGTTTGTTTGGGATACGGCAAGCCTAAAAAAGATATATTTAACAAAAATAAAGAAACATTAAAATATGAAGGCTAGTTGTAAATTCAATTACTGCAGTGGTAGAGCTTTTTTTTTTTTTTTTAAGTCCCTTTACTGTGATGCAAAGAAAGAGGAAAGTAAACAGAATGATGGAAAGCTATAGTAAATTATTTTATTTCCTAAAGAGGGAATCAGGTCTCCATAAAATAAAGTCAATTTATAGTCCATGTCTAACTGTACTTAATTCACCTAAAATATGAATAGAAAATGTCATTATCTGGTACTCTAAACCTGTCACTATTGCGTGTGTGTGCGTGTGTGTATATATATGGACTCTGAAAAACAAACTGAGGGTTCTAGAGGGGAGGAGGGTGGAGGGATGGGTTAGCCTGGTGATGGGTATTAAGGAGGGCACGTTCTGTGTGGAGCACTGGGTGTTATGCACAAACAATGAATCATGGAACACTACATCAAGAACTAATGATGTAATGTATGGTGATTAACATAACAATAAAAATTTAAAAAAAAAGATTCAGCAGCATTATTAGCAGGAAACCTTGTAAGCAGCTACTGGGATGGTGAAATACTCAATAGACAGTTATTATTATTATTATATAATATCAACAAGGTATGGGACACCATGCTACCCATCTTTTCCCTTCATTTTCCACCCTGATGACTGAGAAAAGGAAGAGGGAAAGAAAAAGAGGAGAAAAACTGAAGGAAAAGTCAGGTTTTTACAAGCACTTGCCACTGCTCCTAGAGCAGGAGGCGCATGCAAAAAAACTCTGCCTCACCACCTCAGCTAAAATCAGTGAAGCCACCACCACTTTCTCTATATGCCCAGGGTTTGACACTGTATTCAGAACAGGCACTCAATGAACATTTAATAATAAAGGTCCTCAACACCTTGGACTCTTTCCCTTTCTTTACTATTTTGTCAGTCATTAAATTGTGCTTGTTCATCCTATCTTTGTCTTGCATTCATCTCTTATTTTTCATTTTTACTATCATTATCCCAAGGTTAGATCCTTTTCATCTCACTACTAATAACTACAGCTACTCTCTCGTCAGTTTCTCTCATCCTGATGTATCCTACCTCAAGATCTCCAACATGCCACTGCCAGTATTAACTTGTTCTAAAATCCGACTGTTATCACACTCCCCTCCTACCCAGACGCTCCATTATTTCTCACAACCCACACAATTATTAGGCTACCATTAAAGATACTCCACAATGTGGGCCCAATCAATCATACCACTTTATCTCTTACACAAACTGGTTTCCAGTCAGCCAAATTTTTGAGTGCCTGATGAATACAACAGGTCCATTCTCATGTATTTACAATTTGGCCCCATATGAAATACCCTTGCCTGTCCCTCTTCTCCTACCCCTAACTTGGCCACCTTTAAAGTCTATCAACCTGTAGGATGAACCTTTCTTCCCAACCTGTGGAATGAAGGTGAACTTCAGTTCACCTTCTTCATGTCTGCAGTTCTCAAACTGTTTTAATTTCAGGATGGCTTTACAGTCTTAAAAGAATTTTGAGGACCCCAAAAAACTTTTATGTGGATATAACCATAGATACTTATATTAGAAATTACAACTGAGAAATTTAAAAAAACATTCCTTAATTCATTAAAAAAAAAACAGCAAACCTATTAAATGTTAACATAAAGACATTAGTCTTTTTATGAAAGATAACTACATAAAATAGAATTGTTCCACACTTGTGAAAATCTCTTTAATATCTGGCTTAATAAAAGATAGCCAGATTTTCATAATTGCTTCTGCAGTCACTCTCTTGTGATATCACATATCACTTAGCCTCTGGAAAACTCTAGTGCATACTTGAGAGAATGAAAGTGAAAAAGACAAAGTAAATCATTATGAAATGAGAATCATTATGATTCATTACAAAAATTAGTTGACTCTGCAGACACCCTGAAAGGGTCTCAGGACTTCCAACAGTTCCCAAATCACACTTTGAGAACTGCTAATCTGTGGAATTATTTTTAGGCCTGTCTTTCCTCAAGGCTTCTCTGCAGTATACCTAACAGCGAACAACACTGTAACTGCTTCCTTCTTCCCCAAATGATGTGGAAGATCCCCCAAGGGCACAGTCTAAGTGTTATTCTCTACATGTTATTATGTTCAAAGTACTTAAAAATGATTTTAAGATATATCTGTAAAATTGGCCTCAAAAAGGTCATATGTGATGCAAAATAATGTAAAAAGGTCTAAGAAAATTATTATTATTATGTATATACTGAATGTTTGGATAAATTAAGATTTTGCATAAACTGCATCTGGCAATGGCTCAGATGTACAAAATGAGCCACTCTACTCTTTGTGGAAATAAGTAAGAGATTTGCAAAACTCTTATCAGCAATGCTTCTTGCTACTGCAAAATATGCTAACCAGGAAGGAAAACATTAGTAAAAGCTTAAATACTCCTCAACTTGTGACAGAAAACCATACATGTATATTATTTTCATCAAAATGTGATTCATTGTGAAGAAGCTGGGGACTGAAAAAAAAATCTCATGAATCCATTAGAAAGATCCATTTTTAAATAAAATCCATTTTACTAAGAAAACCCATTAAGAGATTAACCTCTGAAAACATCAAAAATCTGTTTTTTTATTGCTATCCTAGATTGAATTGTGTGTCCCCCAAAATTCATATGTTGAAGCCCTAACTCCAGTACCTCAGAATGTAACAATATTTGGAGGTAAAAATCTTTAAAGAGCTTTGTTTTTTTAGGGTGGTGTCCTAATCTAATAAGATTTGCTGTCCTTGTAAGAGGAAGAGACACCAAGGATCTATAGGCACAGAGAAGAGACCCTGAAGAGGAGCAAGATGGCAGCCATCTGCCAGCCATCTGCCAGCCAAGGAGAAAGGCCTCAGAGTAAACCAACCCTGCTAAACCTTAACCCTGGGACTTCAGCCTCCAGAACTATGAAGGAGTAAGCTTGTTATTTAAGCCACCCAGTCTGCGGTATTTCTTTCTGGCAGCTCCAGCCAACTGATAAAACTAACCCAAGTCCCCAAACAAAGAACACAAGATAGTGCTTTTATGCGATACACACTCTACTATTAATTATCAAGTAAATTAATGGAAAGACAAGACTGTGGTTAAAAGCAAGGATAATCTGAAAGTTTCAAGTAGCAAGTTAATTACCCTCAGAGCTGTTGGAGCTTTAAAATAAATAAGGGTATCTCTAAATGAATTGAGAATAATCAAGCACTTTACCTGCCCAGGTAGTCGTTTCCACTTCACCACTTCTTTGGAATCTTCTAGTCCAGGTTCTGCGTCGACTGAACTGGTCTCATTGTGTCGTTCACAATGCACTGGTTTACCTTTTTCCTCCTGAAGAGCCACCACAGAACGGTAAGATGGCTTTATCTAAATGTGTATAGAAGATGAGAAAATGTAAATATCAAGTTAACCTTTTTCTAGCATATAGGGTTTTTAAAATACTGAAACAAACAACGTGGAAATGTTTTCAAAATGTAACCCAGAAAAGCATTCTACTTTTATGTACATTATTCTAAATAAGATAAAAGGTGCTTGGTCTATAACCAAAAAGCCTTAAAAGTTGGGAGGGAAAAAACAGAACTCCAATGGTTACATGGAATGGTTTTAATAACTCTATCCCTTTGTTTCTGCCTCTTCACTAATACCTACCAGATGTTATGTCACAGCTCTGATAGACTATGGTATCCCTCGCTTTAATATGACAAAACTGGTATCATAAAGACCTAAAGTTTTTAAATCTTCCTTTTCTAAAAAGAGATTTAACTCCATTCAAATTAATGCAAACCAATGCTGTAGTCACACTAATAACATCACTTACAGAATATGCAACTGTCCTGAAATATCTTATTGTCTAAAACAAAAGTTTCGTTTAAGAACCAATTCTTTGCTAAAATCATTCACAGTGTTAATCTGTGGAAAACAGTAGTAGAAACATTATTTACTGATTATTTGAATAATATTGTGGAAAGTGTGCCTGTAAATCATAGTACTGCAAATGCCTGGGCCAAATGTAGCTTGCTGTTTTTCCCAGTAAAGTTTTATTGGAACACATCCACACTCATCTGTTTAGCATTGCCTACATACATCTATGTAGCCACATTCTCGCTACAAAGGCAAAGCTGAGTAGTTGCAACAAAAACTGTATGGTCTACAAAGCCTAAAATATTAACTACTCTTGGGCTTTACGGAAAATATTTGTCAACACTTACTTTACATCATTCTTTAATCTTTAATTTTTAAAAGCCAATAATATTTTTAAAAAATTCTCCTAACACCAAAACTTATATTTAGTAATTAATATTCACTTAAGTATCTTTTACATATTAGCTAGTATAGGCCTAATACATAATTGTTGAAAGTACTTTTATATCCTAGAAACTATTAAAATAATTTAGAGACCTTATCTTTTTAGAAATGAAAAACGTCACCATTTAATTTCAGTAACAGAGAATGTGCTATTAACTTACACATTCTGGAACTTTCAATCCTCTTACAGTTACGTATAATGTTGATGGATAACGATTTCTTGGATATTTTGACCACCATTCAAAAACCTCAACAACATTTAATTGGGATCGGGGCTTAGTAGGTGGGTAATACAGCTGCAAACGAAGTTTTGAATTGATGTTTACATTTCCATTGGCTCCGAGAAGCTTAAAATAAGAATTCCAAAAAAATGTTATTTTCACTGAAAATAAATACATCCAGTAAAGCAACAGTACATAGTCAAAAACTCATTTTAAAAAGATTAATATGGCATGCTGAAATTCCTAAGATATATAAAGCAAAGAACACTGACACAGTTGGTTAAACACAATTCCAGATCCTTTTGACAAAAGGTAACCCAAATTACTTTTTAAATATTTTCCTGATAGCTGCTTGGCCTGTACAAGTTCAGGCTGTTGGTAAAGCATTTACATTACTGTGTCAGATGTTACTTGGCACAAAGGAGGTAATCAAGACACCTTTATTTGAAACAACAGTGATAAAGTTAAAATGCATAATATTTAAACATAGAAAGAAATTTTCCATTTGTTTAGTATCAGTATTTTTAATGAACATTTTCTAAAAATTTTTTTGAGAGAGCACATGCACAGGAGAGGGGAGGGAAGACAGAGTGCACATGCGTGCGCACAAGTGGGGGGGTGGCGCAGAGAGAGAATCTTAAGCAGAATCCACACCCAACGCAGAGCCCAACATGGGGCTCAATCTCAGGACCCTGAGATCATGACCTGAGCCAAAATCAGGAGTCTGTTGTTTGATTGAGCTGCCCAGGCGCTCCTTTAATGGTAATATTTTAATGTTTTAATTTTTAAAAAGTCAAAATCATTTTCAAAAGGTAATTAACATAAACTCATTCAAGGCATTCATTACCTTTAAAAATGTTTTAGTCTACCTTCTTAAAAAAGGCTATTCAATAAAAAAACCTAAAACAACTTATATTTAAGCTAAATAAATGGAGATGCTTATGAGAAAAATAAAAATCTCATTAACTCAAAATAGGTCCCCTTTCACTAGACTATAACTCTAAGTAGAAAATGTCATGTTAACCTTTGTGTCCTCTACAAATTAGGAGGAGACAATTGGGGGCTTTTGCAGCAGTTGAGGCAGAACATGAAGGTGACAGCTTAGGAGAACAAGGACTGAATGCAGGGAATATATTCAGTAGCTGTTACTGATCAACTTGGAAAGGGAAAGAAGGGAAGATTTAGGAAAGACTCTAAGGCAGTGCTGTCCAATAAAATTTTCTGTGATGATGCGAGCATTTTATACTTGTGGTACCCAGTACAAGATACACTAGTTGCATACGGTTATCGAGCACTTGAAGTGTGACTAGTGCAACTGTGGAACTCAATCTTTAATTATAATTTTAATTAATTAATTTGAATTCAAATAGCCACACATGATTTGTGGCTACCAAAATGAACAGTGCAACTCTAAGGCTCTAAATGTGGAAGACTGGGCTGATGGCAATGCTATCAACTCAAGTAGCAGATACAGAAGGGATAAAGGATTTAGGTAGGATGCTAAAGTCTGGGATATTTATAGGTCATCCAAGTTGAAATATCTGAAATCTGAGACAGAGGCAAGAAAAGTGGTCTAAGAAAAATGGAATAAAGCTGAAACCATGAGTAGGACTGATATGAGAGAGGTAAGTGGAACACCATGAAGGAAACTGAAGGAATGGTACAGGGCAAAGTAGGAAAGGATGGTGTCAAGAAAACCCACGCATCAGAGGTTCAAGAGAGGGATGTATTAAACACACACACGGGTGTGATAAAAGAATAAATGAAAAATGTTCACTCACTAAGGTGGCAAATAGAAGTCACTGATGATTTGTTTGGAGATACTTTCACAGCTGAAACAAAATCCAGATTGCAGTGTGTTCAGGAAGGAGGCATCAATAAACAGAACTGGCAAAAATGTAGCCCATTTCATCCCTAGCCTTCTAAGGAAGGATGTAAAGTCAATGGAGGTCATAAGCTTTGTTTTTTTTTTTCATTTTTAAATCATTTTACTGTTTATACCATGATCACATTAAAATTGGCAGAACTCCCATGACAGACAGGACAGAACCCTGTCATGCAAGGAAAAATAGCGAAGGTTTCAGAAAGCTTGAGAGAAGTACCAGGGTTCCAGAGGACGGCCGCAGAGATCCCAGACAACAGTGCCACAGGGCTGGAGCAGGAGGGAACACAGGCTGCTGCAGCAGCTGTTGGCCCGAGGCCACTGCTGTTTCCAAGGGGGACTGCCTAATACGCTTGGTAAGCAGATTACTTGAACAGATGCACATGGAGCAGGGTACTGCTTCTGCTGAATAAATTCTACAGGTTCCTGGACAGGGTCTACAAATCTCATGTGATAAATGGTTGCTGAATTAGGATTTTGCAAAGGAAGTCCAAAACCATAACCAACATCCAGGTTATGATATACAGGGATAAAGAACAGTTTCAAAAGAGTAATAGAAGTGTTCAGTAATTAAATATTAAGCCCTCGAGACTTCCTTCATAAATCCTACTTCTATCTGCCTAAAGCTTATCATAAGAGAATATTATTATGAGATATTATTCCCCCCTTCTAAATCATACTTTCTATAGGTTGTTTTAATACTCACCAGGCAATCTAGTTTACACAAGTATGATGCTTAGCATGACTAAATGATGAAGATCAGCCAAGATCCTGTCATTATGGTTACAATTATATAATGTAGAATGTGGCTAAATAAAGCTTTATTATTTTATAATATAATAGTAATATATATGTGCTAAATGAATTAAAAGTGTCTCTAGCTGAAATTAAGATAAAGTCTCATTTATATCTGGGTACGGTCCTTTGGGATTTATTTGGATCACTACAGTAACTACAATTATCTAGGACATTCCTGGAACCAATGGTATAGGTATTAACACACTTAAATTTTATTTTGAGTCATGCTACTTTCTTAAAGATTTTATTTATTTATTTATTTGAGAAAGCATAAGCAGAGAGGAGAGGCAGAGGGAGCAGGAGAAGTAGGTTCCCTGCTGAGCACGGAGCTTGATGCAGGACTCCATCCCAGGACCCTGGGATCATGACCTGAGCTGAAGGCAGACGCTTAACGACTGAGCCACCCAGGTGCCCCCATGCTATGTTCAAAGATAGATTTTTTCTAGTCCATACATTTTTTATTCTCTCAACAGACATTCACTGAACACTTCCCCTGTGCCACTAATATGCTGGGAGCTGGTAATAATTAAAAAAGAGAGAGTTTCAAGAGAGTGATATAACAAATGCAAAGAGATCTGGTAAAATAAGGACTAAAATATGTTCAACAAATTTGCCAAAAAGAAGTCACCAGTGACTTTGGAAAACTTACAATCTATGAAGGTGATACAGAAATGTTACAACAGAGGAAGTAGACAGAATACTTACCCTTTGTGGCGGGGGTAGGGGGGTAGAGATGGGAGAATTTCTGATTTGCCATTTCTGCCAATGGCATAAAATGGATAAATAAAAGTCTATATACACTTAAAGGTAAAGATGCTATTAGACATTGTTTTCCAAGTGCAGTTTGTAGTTATTATTGCAGTTTTTCACAAATCTTAGCATTTTTTTTTAGTTGTAGTTTTGTTTTTAAGATTTTACTTTTTTATTTGACAAAGAGAGACAGAGCAAGAGAGGGAACACAAGCAGGGGGAGTGGGAGAGGGAGAAGCAGGCTCCCTGCAGAGCAGAGAGTCCAATGTGGGGCTCCATCCCAGGACCCTGGGATCATGACCTGAGTCAAAGGCAGATGCTTAACGACTGAGCCACCCAGGCACCCCAAATCTTAGCATTTTTAAAAGGAACAAAAGTGTTTTCTAATAAGACCACAAAATGACAGCATTTGCTATATGAAAGCAATCTTTTTTTGGCTTTTGCTTTTTTTTTTTTCTCAAAAGCAGTATGAAGGGGATACAAAAAAGTTATAACAGGTTACAAAAGGGTGATTTTTAGAAGCTATACTGGACCAAGGGATTCCTAAGTCCACTCTAATTACTTCCTCCCACAGCCAATCTGGCTTCCTTTCAGCAGTCAGACTGCAGCTATTTTTTTTTTTAAGATTTATTTATTTTATTTTCAGAGAGATAGTGCAGGCGAGCAGAAGCAGAGTAGGGGGGGGGGGGAGAGAAAATCCCAAGCAGTCTCCATGCTCAGAGTCCCACACAGGGCTGGATCTCATGACCCCTGAGATCATGACTTGAGATGAAACCAAGAAGAGGCCGCTTAACCAACTGAACCATGCAGGTGTCCCAGACTGCACCTCTTCTAAAGCATCTCTCTAAACCCCAATGTGAATTAAGTGCCTTACTTGGGTTTTCACAGCACCCACTCTATAGCACATAATCATGTAACGTGTTTATACAGAAATTGAACTGGAGGGCAAGGACAATGTCTAATTTATCTCTGAATGCTCTGTATTTGGCAGAGTGCCTGGCATTTCATAGACACTTAATAAGTATTGTTGAATGGATGGATACACAAACAGAAAAGTTTTATAAATTGTACAAAATAGGTTAATTCAAGACTTTTTTTTTTAAGATTTTATTTATTCACTTGAGACACAGAGATACAGAGAAGGAGAGAGAGAGCATGAGCAGGGAGAGAGGCAGAGGGAGAGGGAGAAGCAGGCTCCCTGCTGAGCCAGGAGCCTGATGTGGGGCTCCATCTCAGCGATCATGACCTGAGCCGAAGGCAGACACTTAACCATCTGAGCCACCCAGGTGCCCCAATTCAAGACTTTTTATAACTCATTTATATCTGAGGCCAGAAATAAAGGATACCAGAAATAAAAAATTAAAATGTTCCCTTTTGTAAAAATCAACCTATCACATCTTTCATCTCTGCTGAAACACTCTAGTTAAAGACACCATCATTTCCTACCAAGATTACTGTAAGAATTTTCAACCATAATCTTCCACTATATATATATGTTCACCCTCTCTAATTCATTCTCCACCAAGCAAAGTCATCTTTCTAAAACCTAAATCAGACTATTCTACCCTTTTGTTTAAAATCCTATAATGGCTTCCCATTGTTTTTTAGAATTCTATTTTGACTTCCTGTTGTTATAATGGCTTCAAAGACTAATGCAAAGATCATTGCATGATCAAGACCCTGTCTACTCAGCAATCTCTTCAGACACCATTTCCCCCCTCAGTCTCTGTCCTCCAATCCCAGTGGCCTTTTGGTTATTTGAGTGTATCTCACTCCTTCCAACATCATGTCTTTGCAAATATGATACCCTCTATCTACCCATAACTCTCTCTCTTCCCCCCTGCTACCATCTACCTAATACTCAGGTTCAACGCCTCTTCCTTAGGAAATCTTTCCCTGACCTCCACACAGTATTTACAAAAATTTCAATAAATGATAAATTGTATAAACAATTGTTTTATATTTGCTTTCCTAAACAAAAGTTAAAATATGAAGTAAACAAGGTTAAGGAGTTTATTTTCTCGTTTACTGACGTGAACCACTGCTGGCACACAGAAAGGGTTTAATAGGTATCTTTTTTTTAAATAAATTATTATTTTTTTAAGATTTTATTTATTTATTTGACAGAGAGAGAGAGACAGTGAGAGGGAATACCAGCAGGGGGAGTGGGAGAGGGAGAAGCAGGCTTCCCGCGGAGCAGGGAGCCTGATGCGGGGCTCCATCCCAGAACCGTAGGACCATGACATGAGCCGAAAGCAGACGCTTAACGACTGAGCCACCCAGGAACCCCTAATAAGTATCTTTTAAGTGGAATAAATGATGGCAGGTTCTTGTGTATCCTTTTCAATACTACATACTGAGAACCAAATAGTGTATCTGGCACACACTAGACACTCAACAGATATTTAAGAATCTGAGTATCACTTTAGCTTGCATTAACAATTCTTCACAACTGCAATCTTAGATCATAATTCCTTAAATAAAACCAAACAGACTTGGGGAAAATGTAGCCAATCAGATTTGAAAATTATTTTTAAAGCGTTTCAAATGGGTGGAAAACATACCTTGAGAAATGCCCAAGCGATTTTCCGAAAGCCACATTCTTGGTTTTGAACTTCAGAATTATTCCTAATTTCATCCATGCTTAAGAAATCAAGAATCTGTAAATAAGTATAAAAAATTACTTCACAGAACACTAGCCACCCTAAAATTTAATATTTTCTAGTAACATATTATTGAAATTAAAAACGTAAGTTGTACACTTAAAAGGTGTTTTCTTCACCAGGAAGAAAAGCATTTCTTACTTCATTCACCTTTAAGTTAACTCATCCTGTTAGTGAGGGTCCATTTTTGACCACTTTTTTATCAATAAATTATTTATTAAGATTTACTTCATGTCAAAGACCAAGTATTAATTACCTCAAATATAGTCTAGGCACAAATATACCAGTCATAGAATTCTTAACAATTTTTGTTTTAATGTATGAGTGCAGACTTCAAATGATTGTTTAAAAAACTCATGATCTTGTATCTGGGTCCTTCCTTACAACACCTTTCTGAAGTTGGGAATTTTCTCTTTGGATATATGCGGTCATTGGGCTTCTCAAGAGGATTTCCTTCATATTTCCATCCCATCTGGATGTTAAAACTCACGGAATTTGGAACAAACCTCCCACAGACACTACCTGTATTCTATAAGTATACTTATAGACTAAAAGAGACTATCACTTTTTCCTTACTGGTGCTTCTCAAAAGCTGAGCTAACAAATCTTTATAGATAGCTTAAAAAATAATACGGACTCCATTCATCCCTCTTCTTTTATACTTAAATCTGTCTTTAGATACAACAGATGCTCAGTGAAAAAACACTAACAAGAAAAATATATAACAAAGTAAAAACAACTTGTAATCCAGATCCATAGATGGTCAACATTAACATATGGTTTATACTATACCTAAACCTTTTTCTGTGCATTCCTAAATATATGTATGTTACTACAAATCCAATGCTATTTTGCAAACTATTTTTATATACCACATAGTGAATATTTCTTCAAGCCAATACATACATATGTATTTCATCATGTTAATGTCTGCCTAATATAGTTTGGTATTACAAATACCATAAATTTAATAAGAACTCTTATTTATATAACCAAATCTCTTCCTGACTGAAGAGATTTGTCTCCCTAAAATTTTTACTGTTAAAGTGTTTATTCTTACACACACGTCTTTGTGTTTTTGTAATTTTTTCCTTAGTAGAAATGCTAAGTGGAATAATGATTTTAAAGACTTCTGATAGATACCAAGTTGTCCTTAATAAACCCTTAAAAGTTGAAATCAAAAGTAGTTTTGTAGACAACAACATGTCATGTTAAAACTTAAGAAGCAACTGCCACTCTGGAAAACAGTATGCAAGTTCCTTAAAAAGTTAAAAATAGAACTACCCAGGCGCCTGGGTGGCTCAGTTGGTTAAGCGACTGCCTTCGGCTCAGGTCATGATCCTGGAGTCCCGGGATCGAGTCCCGCATCGGGCTTCCTGCTCAGCGGGGAATCTGCTTCTCCCTCTGGCCCTCCCCCCTCTCATGTGCTCTCTCTCTCTCTCATTCTCACTCTCTCAAAATAAATAAATAAATCTTTAAAAAAATAAAAATAAAAATAGAACTACCCTATGACCCAGTAATTGCACTACTAGGTACTTATCCAAAGAATACAAAAACACTAATTCGAAGGAGCACATGTACCCCAATATTTATAGCAGCACTATCAAAAATAGCCAAATTATGAAAAAAGCCTAAATGTCCGTTGACTGATGAATAAAGATGATGTGGGGTGTGTTATGTATGTGTATGTAAATACACACACACACACACACACACACACACACAAATACAATGGAATATTACTCAGCCATCAAAAAGAACGAAACCTTGCCATTTGCAACAATATGGATGGAACTAGAGTGTATTATGCTAAGTGAAATAAGTCAGTCAGAGAAAGACAAATACCATATGATTTCACTCATGTGGAATTTAAGAAACAAAAGAGATGAACATAGGGGAAGAGGAGGAAAAATAGGATAAAAATAGAGAGGGAGGCAAACCATAAGAGACTCTTTAACTATAGAGAGCAAACTGAGGGTTGCTGGAGGGGAGGTGGGTGAGGGGATGGACTAAGCGGGTGATGGACATTAAGGGGGGGCACTTGTTGGGATGAACACTGGGTGTTATATGTAAGCAATGAATCACTAAATTCTACTCTTGAAACTAAAAACAAAACAACGACCCCCAAAAACCTTAAGAAGCAACCAAAAAGTCATAATCCAACAATCTTTCTTAAATCTACGAATATTACTAAAATGAATTTGAAGGAACATTATACCTAAGGACAAATTTCTATGACAAAGAAAAAGTTCCTTGATATACAAGTTACATTACTCTTTAAAAAATCACAGCTCTGTATAAATCATACAACATAATCACAGATGTAAATGGTGGAATAGTCACATCACGTACACAGATCATCTGAAAGTTAAAGATCATAAAAACAATTGCACATCATCAGTCATTGGCGTTGGTCATGCCCTGCTGTTCCAATGCTAATCCCCATCTTGCTTAAACTGAGAGGTTTCTCCACTTCCCTTTGCTTATAGAGAGATGACGAAGTAGAAAATAGAAATGTGTATTTCAGGTTCAAACCATCTTGAAATACAAATTACCTACACTTAAAATTGGAGTAACTTTGAGGGGAAGGAACAAGATGGCAGAGGAATAGGAGACCTAAATTTCATCTGGTCCCAGGAATTTAGCTAGATAGGGATCAAACCATTCTGAACACCTAGGAACTCAACGGGAGATCGAAGAAAAGAATAGCAGCAACTCTCTGAAGAGAAAAGCGACCACTTTCTGGAAGCAGGGACCCAACAAGCAGCAGATCGGGGAGACTCCCCTTCCTGCCCTGGGGGAGGGGGGAATCTGCTGGGTTTGGAGACTCCAAATGGGGTCGTGTGCCACAGATAGAAATGCTCGGTCACAGGCTGGGTGAGCACAGAGAGCGGCTGGAGACCGGGGAGACGGGAGTGACTGACTGCTTTTCTCTGGGGCTCACTGAGGAGCGGGGCCCTGAGTTCTCAGCTCCTCCGGGGCGGAGATTGGGAGGCCGCTACTTTCACTCTCATCCTCCAAAGCTGTACGGAAAGCCTGCAGGGAACAAAAGCTTCCGAGAGCAAACCTGAGCAGATTACTTAGCCCGGCCCTGGCAAGGGCGGGGCAATTCCCCCTCCGGCAAAGACATTTGGGAACCACAGCAACAGGCCTCTCCCCCAGAAGATCAGCAAGAACAGCCAGCAAGCCAAGACCAAGTTTACGCATCAATGAGACCGCAGAACTCCAGCGCTAGGGGAATACTGCACAGAGAATTCATGGCTTTTTCCCCGTGATTCTTTAGACTTTAAAAATTAATTTTTAAAAATTTTTTTTGAATTTTTCTTTTTCCCTTTTTCAGCCAACATCTTATCAATCCCCTTTTTAAAAATCTTTTTTATTTTTCATTTTTAGAGTCATAATCTATCCCTTCATAGTAGTTAACCTTATTTTTGATATATATATAAGTTCTCTCTTTCAAATTTTGGGATACAGTTTCTTCTAACAGACCAAAATATACCCTAAATCTCTAGTGTATGGCTTTGTTCTAGTCTCCTGCCTGATCACATTCTCTGCCTTTTTTTAAAAATTTTTCTTCTTTCTTTTTTCAACCAACTTATCAATTCCTTTTATAAAATCTTTTATAGTTTTCATCTTTATAATCATATTCTAGCCCTTCATCATATTAACCCTTATTTTTGTACAGATATAAGCTTTCCTTTCTTTAAAATTTTGGGAGGCAGTTTCTTCTAACAGACCAAAATACGCTTGAAATCTAGTGTGTGGCACTGACTGATTCACTAGCCTGACCATATTTGATCATATTCTTTTTTTTTTTTTTTAATCTTTTTCTTTCTTTCCCTTTCTTTTCCCTGGTTTCAGGTCTCTTCTGATTTGTTTAGTGTATATTTTTCTGGGGTCGCTGTTACCCTGTTACCATTTTGTTCTCTCATTCATCTATTCTCCAATGGACAAAATGACAGAAGGCAAAAATCACCTCAAAAAAAAGAACAAGAGGCAGTACCGACCGCCAGGGACCTAATCAATATGGACATTAGTAAGATGTCGGAACTAGAGTTCAGAATGACGATTATGAAGGTACTAGCTGGCCTTGAAAAAAGCATGGAAGAGATCAGAGAAACCCTTTCTGGAGAAATAAAAGAACTAAAATCTAACTGAGTTGAAATCAAAAAGGCTATTAATGAGGTGCAATCAAAAATGGAGGCTCTAGCTGCTAGGATAAATGAGCAGAAGAGAGAATTAGTGATATAGAAGATGAAATGATGGAAAATAAAGAAGCTGAGAAAGAGATAAACAACTACTGGCTCATGAGGGCAGACTTCAAGAGATAAGTGATACCATAACACAAAACAATATTAGAATAATTGGGATCCCAGAAGAAGAAGAAAGAGAGAGAGGGGCAGAAGGTATATTGGAGCAAATTATAGCAGAGAACTACCCTAATTTGGGGAAGGAAACAGGCATCAAAATCCAGAAGGCACAGAGAGCCCCCCTCAAAATCAATAAAAATAGGTCAACACCCTGACATCTAATAGTAAAACTTACGAGTCTCAGAGACAAAGAGAAAATCCTGAAAGCAGCTCGGGACAAGAGATCTGTAACCTACAATGGTAGAAATATTAGATTGACAAGAGACCTATCCACAGAGACATGGCAGGTCAGAAACGACTGGCATCATATATTCAGAGCACTAAATGAGAAAAATATGCTGCCAAGAATACTATGTCCAGCTAGGTTGTCATTGAAAATAAAAGGAGAGATAAAAAGCTTTCAGGACAAACAAAACTAAAGGAATTTGCAAACACGAAACCAGCCCTACAGGAAATGTTGAAAGGGGTCCTCTAAACAAAGAGAGAGCCTAAAAGTGATATAGACCAGAAAGGAAGACAGACAATATACAGTAACAGTCACCCTACAGGCAATATAATGGCACTAAATTCATATCTTTCAATAGTTACCCTGAATGTAAATGGGCTAAATGCCCCAAAAGACACAGGGTATCAGACTGGATAAAAAAACAAGACCCATCGATATGCTGTCTGCAAGAGACTCATTTTAGACCCAGACACTTCCAGACTGAAAGTGAAGGGGTAGAAAACCATTTAGCATGCTAATGGACACCAAAAGAAAGCTGGAGTGGCAATTCTTATATCAGACAAATTAGATTTTAAACCAAGGACTATAATAAGAGATGAGGAAGGACACTATATCATACTTAAAGGGTCTATCCAAAGAGAAGATCTAACAATTGTAAATATCTATGCCCCTGACATGGGAGCAACCAATTATATAAGGTAATTAACAACAAAAGCAAACAAACACATCGACAACAATACAATAATAGTAGGGGACTTTAACACCCCCCCCCACTGAAATGGACCTATCATCTAAGCAAAAGATCAACAAGGAAATAAAGACTTTAAATGACACATTGGACCAAATGAACTTCAAAGATATATTCAGAACATTCTATCCCAAACCAACAGAATACACATTCTTCTCTAGTGCCCATGGAACATTCTCCAGAATAGATCACATCCTAGGTCACAACTCAGGTCTCAACTGCTACCAAAAGATTGGGATCATTCCCTGCGTATTTTCGGACCACACTGCTTTGAAACTAGAACTCAATCACAAGAGGAAAGTCAGAAAGAACTCAAATACATGGAGGCTAAAGAGCATCCTACTAAAGAATGAATAGGTCAAGAGGAAATTAGAGAAGAATTAAAAAAATTCATGGAAACCAATGAAAATGAAAACACAACTGTTCAAAATCTTTTGGGCGCAGCAAATGCAGTCCTAAGAGGAAAGTATATAGCAATTCAAGCCTTTCTCAAGAAACAAGAAAGGTCTCAAATACACAACCTACACCTAAAGGAGCTGGAGAAAGAACAGCAAATAAAGCCTAAACCCAGCAGGAGAAGAGAAATAATAAAGATCAGAGCAGAAATCAATGAAATAGAAACCAAAAGAACAGGAGAACAGATCAACGAAACTAGGAGCTGGTTCTTTGAAAGAATTAACAAGATTGATAAACCCCTGGCCAGACTTATCAAAAAGAAAAGAGAAAGGAACCAAATCAACAAAATCATGAATGAAAAGAGGAGTGATCACGACCAACACCAAAGAAACACAAACAATAAGAACATATTATGAGCAACTCTATGCCAGCAAATTAGATAACCTGGAAGAAATGGATGCATTCCTAGAGATGTATCAACTACCAAAACTGAACCAGGGAGAAATAGGAAACCTGAACAGACCTATAACCACTAAGGAAATTGAAGCAGTCATCAAAAATCTCCCAAGAAACAAAAGGCCAGGGCCAGATGGCTTCCCAGGGGAATTCTACCAAACATTTCAAGAAGAATTAATACCTATTCTTCTGAAACTGTTCCAAAAAATAGAAATGGAAGGGAAACTTCCAAACTCGTTTTATGAGGCCACCATTACCTTGATCCCAAAACCAGACAAAGACTCCATCAAAAAGGAGAATTTCAGACCAATATCCCTGATGAGCATGGATGCAAAAATTCTCACCAAAATACTAGCCAATAGGATCCAACAGAACATTAAAAGGATTATTCACCAAGATCAAGTGGGATTTATTCCTGGGCTGCAAGGTTGGTTCAACATCCACAAATCAATCAATACATCAATACATACATTAATACATACATAATACAATACATTAATAAAAGAAAGAACAAGAACCATATGACCCTCTCAAGAGTGCAGAAAAAGCATTTGACAAAGTACAGCATGCTTTCTTGATCAAAACTCTTCAGAGTATAGGGATAGAGGATACATACCTCAGTATCATAAAAGCCATCTATGAAAAACCCACAGCGAATATCATTCTCAATGGGGAAAAACTGAGAGCTTTCCCCCTAAGGTCAGGAACGTGGCAGGGATGTTCACTATCACCACTGCTATTCAACATAGTATTAGAAGTCCTAGCCACAGCAATCAGACAACAAAAAGAAATCAAAGGCATCCAAATAGGCAAAGAAGAAGTCAAACTCTTATTCTTTGCAGATGATATGATACTCTAAGTGGAAAACCCAAAAAACTCCACCCCAAAACTGCTAGAACTCATACAGGAATTCAGTAGAGTGGCAGGATATAAAATCAATGCACAGAAATCAGTGGCATTCCTATACACAAACAACAAGACAGAAAAAAGAAATTAAGGAGTTGATCCCATTTACAATTACACCCAAAACCATAAGATGCCTAGGAATAAATCTAACCAAAGAGGCAAAGAATCTGTACTCAGAAAACTATAGAAAACTCATGAAAGAAATAGAGGAAGACACAAAGAAATGGAAAAACGTTCCATGCTCATGGTTTGGAAGAACAAACATTGTGAAGATGTCAATGCTACCTAGAGCAATCTACACATTTAAAGCAATCCCTATCAAAATACCATCATCTTTTTCCAAAGAAATGGAACAAATAATCCTAAAATTTGTATGGAACCAGAAAAGACCCCGAATAGCCAGAGGAATGTTGAAAAAGAAGAGCAACGCTGGCGGCATCACAAGTCCGGACTTCAAGCTCTATTACAAAGCTGTCATCATCAAGACAGTATGGTACGGGCACAAAAACAGACACATAGATCAATGGAACAGAATCGAGAGCCCAGAAATGGATCCTCAACTCTATGGTCAACTAATCTTCAACAAAGCAGGAAAGAATGTCCAATGGAAAAAAGACAGTCTCTTCAACAAAGGGTGTTGGGAAAATTGGACAACCACATGCAGAAGAATGAAACTGGACCATTTCCTTACATCACACACAAAAATTGACTCCAAATGGATGAAAGACCTCAATGTGAGCCAGGAGTCCATCAAAATCCTAAAGGAGAATACAGGTAGCAACCTCTTCAACCTCAGCCACAGCAACTTCTTCCTAGAAACATCACCAAAGGCAAGGGAAGCAAGGGCAAAAATGAACTATTGGGACTTCCTCAAGATAAAAAGCTTTTGCACAGCAAAGGAAACAGTCAACAAAACCAAAAGACAACCGACAGAATGGGAGAAGATATTTGCAAATGACATACCAGATAAAGGGCTAGTGTCCAAAATCTAAAGAACTGATCAAATTCAACACCCAAAGAACAAATAATCCAATCAAGAAATGGGCAGAAGACATGAACAGACATTTTTCCAAAAAAGACATACAAATGGCCAACAGACACAGGAAAAAGTCAACATCGCTCGGCATCAGGGAAATCCAAATCAAAACCTCAAGATACCACCTCACACCAATCAGAATGGCTGAAATTAACAAGTCAGAAAACGACAGATGTTGGCAAGGTTGCGGAGAAAGGGGAACCCTCCTACACTGTTGGTGGGAATGCGAGCTGGTGCAGCCACTCTGGAAAACAGTATGGAGGTTCCTCAAAAAGTTGAAAATAGAGCTGCCCTACGATCCAGCAATTGCACTACTGGGTATTTACCCCAAAGATACAAATGTAGTTATCCGAAGGGATATGTGCACCCTGATATTCATAGCAGCAATGTCCACAACAGTCAAAGTATGGAAAGAGCTAAGATGTCCATCGACAGATGAATGGATAAAGAAGAAGTGATACACACACACACACACACACACACACACACACACACACACACACA